AATTTGCAATCCCACCAATTTGAACTTCTTAATCATTTCACCTTTTCCAACCCCCCGCTCCCCTTTAGAAGTGGTAACATGACCGAGTTGCCTAAGCCCTAGATTTAAAAAATGATCTTTAATTGCCCAGAAATCTGTTGGAGGCCCCGCATAGTTTTACTCACACTTAAAGAAATCCAAGGTGAAAGTTCTAAAATATCAGATTCTATCAGTTCCAAGACCCTTTTGAAGAGTATAATTACCACCATATATGGATACTAAGTGGTCATGGAGCTGGGAAAATTAGGAAGCATTAAAAGTAGAGAAAGTAAATTTCAAAATGTATCTCATACTCAAGATTTTCTTCTATAGTAACACAAAGAAGAGAAATGGTATTTTCTTCCATAAATATACAACATTCTAAAAGAAAAAAAAATACACAGTAGGACTCAAAGAAATACATGACAAAAATGTATAAAATTTCTTTCTGAAATATGCTCAGGGTCTTCTTGATTTGCCAATAAGTCTAATCAAGAGACAGCATGTAAAATGGTTGAATAGGATTCTCCACCTAAAAGATGTAGTGAGTTGAGATCCAAACAAAGAGAATAAAGAGCTGAGTTTAAAAAACAAAACAAAACAACAACAAAAAACATACTCCTTTCAACTTTGCCAAGGCATAAACTGTGTTCTTCATGGTGTCTGTAGGGATGATATCTGAATTATCTCCATACAGATAATCTTTTTTGGAGCTCAGAGTAAGTTCCACTGAAGTTGCCACCTCTTTAATGCTGTGATACTTTCCATCTCGCTGAATACGGAGAACTTTTACCATATCCTTCCCATAGGCAGTTCGGACAAACTCCACTTCATCATTCTGCAATGAAAACATAGTCATCTTATTGAAGAAGGCTAAATGAAAACAAAAAGTCAACTGTAATTTAAGTCTTATCATATACAGCAGGTCCTCCAATAACATCGTTTTGTTATAACGTTGACCAGACGCCGTAAAAACTTAACTCTTTACCATTAGCTGATGGTAAAATTGGTTTTGTAATACATTGTTTTTCCATAGTTCCAAGAACCTATTAGCGTTAAGTGCGGACTTACTAGAATTATAAAAGTTGAGAATGAGAGTATTCATGAAGGCAAGACCATATCCTACTTTTAAAGCAGAATGAGAACTTATATGGAGAAAAGTGAATCACAAGTAACAAATGAAACTGTATCAGATTGGCCTGAAGACAGACAGGTAGATAGATGGCTTTCTTGATAATAATAAGTAATAATAATAACTGTACCTTGGGGGCCAAATTACTGTTTTATTTAATCTCTGCTAATTTCATCCTTATAACAGCTATGTGAACTAATATTATTCCCATTTTACAGAGGGAGAAACTGAGGTTCAAGGAGTTTAAGTCACTTGCCCTACTTCACATAGCTAATAAAGGATGGAGCCAGGGATTCACACTCAGATCTGTTGACTCTAAATTGTGTACCCATA